TAGGTATGATACCAGAGTTTCAGTGGAGATCATATTAGAGATCTATGATCTTAACTAAAAATCTGGTATTAGTTTCTTTCAAACATAGCCTATCAAGTGCATTGCTGGATAAAAACTAAGATAGTCAAAAATACTATTAAGTATAGTCACAATATGTTACAACTAAGAAAGTCAACTCCCTATGATACCTAAGTTTCACTGGAGTTCATATATGAGTTCTTTGATCTTAAGTAATAATCTGGTATATGTTTTATTCAAAATAGCCTATCAGGAGCATTCTGAATAAAAACCAAGAGAGTCAAATATACTATTAAGTATAGTCACAATATGTAATAACAAGGATAAGGTATCTACCGGGTTGCCTTCCAAACAAGCCAAACACTAAAAAATCTAAACAATTACTGAATGTCCTCGTAATATAGAAAAATCGTAATTCAACAAAAAAACTCATCATTAAAGAAGTCATTTTTGAATGTTGTATGAACTACTAATGATCGTAATTTTTACATCGAATTTCCTCCGAAATTGAATGGTGATATCCCTGTTGCCTGTTTGGCTACATGAAATAGATCACCTTTATTTATTAGACTAGGGAAGAAAAGCTGTTCAAAACTCACCCTGGAGACTACATAAAATGAAGAATTCGAGAAAAGTTTTCGCTTTTGATGAATATGTCTGCTACAAATGGTGGAAACCCCAGAAGACTTCTCATAAAAAATACTACACACTGCCATCTGGTTGATACAAATGATCCAGAAAACAAGTGAGTAGATATTGATATAAACCAAATAAAAAGCAAAAGCTAAATCATTTCTACTAAATACCAATCATCAACCGTCCCAACTGGAGAACATAAAAGAAAATTGCAAGATTTTCGATTCCTTTTACCTCCACTATCCACAGGTCAAGTCTTTCTTTTTATATCGTTCTGTACATGTAGTTTTATGATAACGTATACAATTGGTTTTGCATGTATATAATAATGTACGAGTATGTTTGGGTCGAGTACTGAAACATAATTTGAAGCAGAATATTAAACAACGATAAAGTACCGAAATAAACCTCATAAGATTTCGAAATAGAGCCGAGAAATGGCAAAAATAGCCAGTCATGCGTTTGGATTGTTTTAATAACAACAATGAAACATTTAAAGCCAGCATATAAAGATACTTTGAGGAGTAAAATAATTATAAATAATACTAGAATATAATCTTGCAGGGAAAATATAATATTTAGTAGGTACAATGATATGCTCTATCTGATCAGTATTAAACAATAAGAATAACATTTTTCTTAAGTATATTTTTAACAGCAATCAGAACTCTTATGCTGACTTCTGAAAAAACTTGTCATTTAGCAACCCAAATGGTTTTCCTATCTCTGTGTGATGAATCTATTATTACATTTTTTGTAATACTTATAAATTTTATGGATGCCAAGAGGTAAGGGTTATTTCCACTTGGAAACACGTTGCTATCTATTTTTCTAATTATAAGTGAAAATTGTCAGTACTGCCTAACATCAGGATCCCAAAGGTATCCTGAATCTGGAAGTTATTTCCAAATGAGAACCGATGTCATTGCTGCTTGACATCAAGCTGTACGAGGCAGGGATCGCACCTAGATCCTTTGGTTCAAAATCCGTAGCTCTAACCACTAGGCCTCTAGACAAACTATTTGGTGATTAGGGCAACAATAACAAAATAACTCAAATCCGTTCAAAAAACTAGGGATATGTCTCTTTACCTTTACCGAGTTTCACAATTTTTTTTCACTATTCTTACGTGATACATCAGCGAAAGTTAGTATTTTATAACAAATTCGTTCTGAATCACGTAATTATTGGAGAAAACGATTTAAATTCAAACTGTCTGTAATTAGTGCACGAGTATGCCATTGCAATTGCAAACTACAATACAAGTCATTCGAATCAATGTAACATAATTGCGATGCATAATTATTTTCACGGCTGGAAGTTTCTGATGATAGAGCAGTGATGGCCAAAGGTGGAAAAATAAAGATTGAAAGCTTAATAGTCAGAATCACATATTTTTTATACAATTAGTTGAATATAACAACTTGTAATGAATAATTAAATTGACACATTGAGTGCCACAACAATCTATAGAAATCTCAATTGTATTGATATTTAGAAAGTTTCTGATGATAGAGCAGTGCTGGCCCAAAGTAAAAAAATAAGATTTGGAAGTTTAATTAATAGTCAGAATCACACATTTTTGATACAATTAGTTGAATGTGACAACTTCTAATGAATGATTAAATTGACACATTGAGTGCCACAACAATCTAAATCTGAATAAAATTGATAATAATTGAGAATAACTGACTTTTTGTTACTTTTCTCAGAAAGCTTATGATATATATATATATATATATATATATATATATTATATCTATTTTTTTTTGAATTCTACATCAATTTCTTCAATATAACATAAAAAATAAAATTAACTGATTTTCAATTAAATTTTATTTAATATGTTCGATTTCTGCCATTTCTAAATAGAGACAATATCTAGTTTGTCAGTAATGTAGGACTTGCACTTCATATTCAATTTTATTTTCAATTATGAAACTTAAAAACAGTATTCCATGTCATAAACTTAAGTAACTCTGTTAGACAATATCAGTAATTATTATTTGCTTTTTATTTAGTTTATTATCAGTAATTATTATTTGTATGTTTTCAAGTAATTTTGCAAAATGTACATCTTTGACTTTGAGCAGATTATATTTAAATAGAGATAAATGGTGCTACCATTTCTCCCTAATCGGACTTTCAGCTTTTGTTTCCATGATTTGCTTATAAAACTTTTCAGTAACAATCTCTTGTTCTTGCATTTCAAATGATGCGGTATAAAAGGATTTTACTGAGGGATTTGCGGTAATGAAAAAGTAGAAAGGACTCCCGCCTTCAAAATGTTGACGAAGGACTATGTAAACGAAACTTGTACTCAACTTGTACCAAAATTTTGTTTATTGTAGTAATGTGACTCAATAATTTCATAGATTTTTGTTCAAATTTATCACCCGCAAATTATTGTATAAACTTGTGCGGTATATATAGTTATATTTTACAAAGTTATCTCATTGTTATTCTCGTTAATGATTTGCATGAATTTCATGCTATTGGACATGCATAATGACATTTTCCCAGAATGGATAACAAATGAAATCTAACTTTATGCCCGTCCTATCATATATCAAAACTGGACGTAAATGATAACCCCAAATAAAATCATTCCTTTCGGGGTATTTATTGACGCATATTCTGTTATTCCATCCAACCCTTATTCCATAATGACGTCAGCCTAATTTCTTCGAATACGCACTTCTAGTAGGGTGGCAAAGGAACTTTCTAGGTGATGGGCGTATATAGTCTGTCAAAAACCGCCTTTTTCCTTTCAAGAACTGAATTTTCCCGCTCGCAAAAGATTTCTTGTAGTGCAGTTTTGTCAAAGCACACACACCCCTCCTCTTCGGGTGCAAAGAAGCGCAAAGTTGGGGGCACCCCAGTGTTATAGGACGGATGACTCATATCAGAATTTCTACGCAAACTGTAGGTATCAGCAAAGATCAAATATTTTTACTGATACTGGCGGAAGGGTCTGTAGTTAATAATTAAATTGATCTGACGATAGATTATGAGACCGATTCGAATATATGAAGAAGTTTTCATACTAAATATTGACAAAAGCCATGCGGTTGGTGTGCAG